GAGGAGGAGGAGGAGGAGAGGAAGAAGAAGAAGAAGAAGAAGGGGAAGAAGAGGAAAAAGAAGGGGGAGAAGGAGGAGGAGGAGAAAAGGAAGAAGAGGAAGAAGAAGAAGAAGAAGAGGAAGAGGAAGAAGAAGAAGAAGAAGAGGAGGAAGATGAAGAAGGAGGAGGAGAAGAAGAGGACGAAGAAGAAGAAGAAGGAGAAGAAGAAGAAGAAGAGGAAGAAAAAGAGGAGGAAGATGAAGAAGGAGGAGAAGAAGAGGAAGAAGAAGGAGGAGAAGAAGAAGAAGAATGAAATATCTACGTCCAAATCATCCAGTTCAGAGAACAATACTCCATCAAAATACAATTGTAATATTTATCAATACATTCAGTTACTATTTTTTTTTAATAAATAAAATACCTAATAATGAGAAAATGTGCCATATATAAATATGCATGTTATATTAACACACTAGAAAAACCGATAAACAAATGACTTTTTTTTTCAAACAGAACATTGTTTCATCTATTTAGGTAAAAAAACAAACAACAAACGAATTTATAAACTATGCGAAATTTTCAACTTAACTAATGTAATCAAGGGTAGTAATTTGATGAAAAAAAAGAATTGTTACTAGATAATTTATGGATCATGATGTTTATGTGTGAGAGAAATTGGCACACACACACACACACACAAATAATCGATATGTTTGATGATGTAATTAAAAATGTTGTGATAATTCTGCTGTATCCGAGTTCTCTAATAATTTAGTGAATTATAAATATCTTTAAAACAATGCTGGTGTTTTATGGAATAACCGAGTGAGCAATAAAATATAGTTAGAAATGATGTCAAATCAGTCAGTCAGATACAATTTAGGAAGTGTTACATATGTATACCAGTACAACTTGTCATATTCAATTAACATAAAGAGTTGAAGTTTTCAGAACAAGTACCAGAGTAATAAAGGTAATAACAGTATTAGTGGTGGCATAAACGACCAGACATAGGCAATATAATTGAAAAAAATATGAATTCATGAGGTGAGATAGTTAGAAAATTAGAATCTCGGGGGGGAGGGGGAATGAATGAATCTACGTTCCTGTAATAGAATGTGCGCCATGTCACTCTCAAAGTTTTCAACCAGTGACTACGATGATTGTGTGGACATATACCAGACAGTTTGAAGCTAAAGATGCTTACTTACTTACTTACTTACGCCTGTTACTCCCAATGGAGCATAGGCCGCTGACCAGCATTCTCCAACCCACCCTATCCTAGGCCTTCTTTTATAGTTCCATCCAATTCTTGTTCTTTTTTTTCATGTCTATTTCCATTTCTCGGCGTAATGTGTTATTCGGTCTTCCTCTTTTCTTTTGGTCTTGGGGATTCCACGTGAGGGCTTGTCTTGTGACGCAGTTGGGTGCTTTCCTCAATGTGTGTCCTATCCACTTCCAGCGCTTCTTCCTGATTTCTTCCTTCGCTGGGATCTGGTTTGTTCTCTCCCATAGTAGGTTGTTGCTAATAGTGTCCATCCAACGGATGTGAAATATTTTGCGTAGACAACTGTTAATAAACACCTGTATGTTCTGGATGATGGTTTTCGTAGTTCTGGAAGTTTCCGCCCCATACAGTAGGACTGTCTTGACATTCTTATTGGAAATTCTGACCTTGGTGTTGGTTGACAGTTCTTTTGAGTTCCAGATGTTCCTCAGTTGTAAATATGCTGCTCTTGCTTTGCCGATCCGCGCCTTCACATCTGCGTCAGATCCACCCTGTTCATCAATGATGCTGCCCAAATATGTAAAGGTTTTTACATCTTCCAAATCTTCTCCGTCAATAGTGATTGGATTGGTGCATTCTGTGTTGTTTCGGAGAATGCAGTTAAGTAAAATTATCAATCACTTCATAAACTAATGTCATTTGTTGGTTTTCCAGTATTAGCTTTCTGTCAACCTGCTCCTATATTACCCAACATTGCGCTTCTAGTACTAAAACACTTTCGTCCAAGATGTTAAGTTGTTTCCTTCATGCGCACTGACGAACGACGGCAATCGTGAACGAGCGACCTGAAAATGCCTATTGAAGTGATCAGTGATGAGGTTAAGTCCGCATGAAAAGATCACCACTGTAATTTGGTTTAACAGTCACCGACTAGTATCTCAAACACATGTGAAGACGCTTACGCTGAAGGTTGGCAATATAACTAAGCTGTCTCTGAACCATTGTAGCTAGGTTGAAGGCTTTAAAAATTGGGTAACCATAAAGGAATGCGATGCCTTACTAGGTTTGTGCAACAGACTGAACATGAAAACATACGAACACTAATTATTATACAAATACAATCTCATACTATTAGAATTCTAGGCAACAGTATAACAAAATAAAATAAAAAGACTTACATTGTGAAATTATCTGATTAGATAATTCAATAGATTTAATTTCCCAATGTTCTAAATTCACATTAGATTCGGTCATTGTGACAATGTTGGATGGTTGTGTCGGTGGCATTAGTGATCCTTGGTAATTAATATTGTTTATTTGTTCAATGATATCGAATTGTGTTTGTTCAAGCCGTTCAAGTTTCAATTTTGTTTCATTTAACTGGTCTAAAACAAAAATGTTTCGTAATCAATAAAGAATGGATAATCATGAAGTATTATTAATTACCATTATCATTATGACACAGATATTGAGACAAGATATACAATCTAAATGTAAGGGATTAAACGTTGGTTGTGAATATGTTCGAGGCAGATGAAACACAATTGTAGTAAATCATAAGGTTATTTTCCTTATGAACTGATATATATCAATCAGAGAAAACTAGGTAGTAATGAACAGTTGCTACATACGAATTGGAAGGTCTTCATCAATACACACATAGACACCACTGTTTCTTACTATATTAGTGAGATTATAGGGACTTAAAATATTTCATCACTGTTAGTGTTGAGTGTACATATCGAAATTCTCTTCAGGTTGATATTTTATCCGTTGACTTTAACGCAACTATGTCGTTGATCTTAAACCACATGATTATTGTAATATTCACATCGTTATCGTAAGAATGTATACAGAACAATGGATTAGATTAAATTTTGGTGGAGTTTTGTTCTCTGAGCTGGATGGTTTGGTCGTGGAGCTTTCATCGTTCTTCTGAACGACATCATCAGCACAAACTTCAGATAGAAGTGAAGTGTTCGAATTTCTCCATATGTGTTTCATAGCTTGTTCTGTGCACCTCGATGTTGATTGGTTCTTGTTGACCTTAAACTTATCATTGTTTACTTTTTTGTTTTGGTTGTGTCTCCTATTGGTTTGATTTTTGTTCCTATATTTATGCATGATTTTCCTGATTGATTGATAAATTGGATTGATCAATCCAGCTTAGAGAACAAAACTCCACCAAAATCATCCACATGAGCTACAAATCTTCTCCACCATTAGATTAAATAAAATTTAACGAAATTAGTAAGTCATAAAACCATCAAACATACTGATAAAGACAGGCCTATTACTGTTCTGTGTTCACTATTTTTATTTCATTTTTTTTCAAGATTTACTTACTTACGCCTGTTACACCATGAGGAGAAGCATAGGTCGCCAACCAGCATTGTAACAAAAATGGAACATAACGTCACAATGCTCGTACTAAGAAAGTATTAATTATCAACTGTTAAATCCTATAGAATAACGATTATTCTGATGCTGTAAGTAATAGGTGTCATTACCAAGGTTTGATTTGATAATTTCGAATAAATTGAGCATTGGGTTGATTGTTATAAATAAAAATAATATATTTGTAATATCCCAATGAGTAGAAAATCCAATTTTCTACTCATTGGGATATTACAAATATATTATTTTTAGCTGTAAGTAATGTTAATTTCTTAGTGTAATGATGTTCTTGAATAATACTGCTTATCAAAGACAATAATAATATATCTGAAATGAAGAGATAAGAAAGTGATATAATTTCAGGTCAATTTTTCGGTATTAATTCAGTATGAATTTCGTACAGAGTTATAGGTGCGAACTACTATTTAGTGTAACATTTATATTTCTTGTATCAATTTAGTGTGTTTTGGAAGTAACCCTAAATATTTCTCCGTATATTATGGTATTATCATCAACTAATTTTGGTGATGCATTCTAAACAGACAATAAACTTTATTTATAACAGTCTTTTGTATCCTCACTTCCCGAATACTATATTAACAACAGAGATAACAATATCGATAAGGGTAATTTACAAGGTTTTGCAGCCTTAAAGCTATCTGGTTCGAGTTCGAGAAAGAAAGGTATAAAGCAATTTTAATCCAACGGCTTAGGGCAGAATAAATAGTGTGTACATATACACCATTGTGATCGATTCTAAACCATGTCACCCAGAGTCTCCAACCACTGGTTGTAATAATCGCGCGGACCCCCCAACCAAATAGTGTGCATCTGCATCATTCGCTACATTGCACAATAGAAAACAACAAATTGTAATTGTGATAAAAACAATTCATTTCGAATAAACATACTAAGTATTTTGCAAATAAACAAAAACAAATTTTTTTTCTCATTTTAAAGAATCTCACCTAAAATGTATTCGAATTGTTTACTTTGTTTTTCTGAATTTATTGATAACATTTCCAAATGATTTAAAATTCTATTCATTTCATTATGAGTTCTTCTGTTATCGTCGTCGTTGGTATTGACTTTGTTGTTGTTGTCATGACTGTCATGTTCAGTAGTTTCATTAACTGTATCTATTCTGTTAATTGTGGCGTTTAAAATATCTTCCTCTTTTGAAATTGACTTCAAATCTTCAAATGATTGGTAGTTGCAACAATCATCATCATCATTATCACCTTCTTCATCGGCATTGTCAACAGCCCTACCTACACCTTCACTTTCCCCACCACCACCACCACCACCATCATCATCATCATCATAAACAACGAAATTACAAGTGCTTAATGATGCCGAGGTAATATCCAATGGTGATGAATTTTGTAAATGGGTTTCTTTTGCAGTAGTATTAGTAGCAGTGGTCGACCATAATGTAGTGTCTTTAGTTGGTAACATTGTTAACGAGAGTTGAGATGGTAGTGGAGGCGGCAACAGTTCCAATGGTGGAGACATTGACGATGTTGTTGTCGTTGTTGTTAAAAAGATTAAGTCATTCTCATCTATGTGATTAGTTGTAGTATATGCTTCATTGTTTAAATTATCATTATTACCATTATTATCACGAGTTGGACTACTTGAATTTAATGGGATTTTATTCGTTGTTGTATCTGGTCGAATAGTTAATAATAATTGATTGCGTGAGAACGAAAATTAAATAAATAAATAAATGAACAAATATTAATAACAATGTTTAAATCATTCAATGAAATGTTTTTACATATGATGCATTGTTAGATTTTTATTTAAGAACTAACTTAATCAAGTGTGGAATTATGTCCTCAGCTAATAATACATATAAGCCAGTCACTGCTTGAATAGCTGCTAATTGGTAACGAATGTGAAGCTGAGCGATGTGGGGTCGAATCCTACAAGAACTATCAGTTCACTCAAAATTTCAGGTATGCATTGATGACGAGCAAGGTTTCCTAGTGAATACCCCACCAACCGAATGATATCTCAACGTAGTGTTAAATCACTTAGACAATTTGGGAATAGGATTAGGTCAGTTCTAAAAGACAAGATAAGCATGAAATCGGTCATTAATCAGTGACAATCACTGAACAGTTACAGCATGTTCTTTACTGTACACAAAAACATGAATATTACTTTAATCACAAAGTCAACGTATTTCTGATATATGTGATTGAAAAATAAAAACACACTGACATAAAGAACAAAGTCCATGCAGTTATATTGCTGAAACTTTATTATAGAGACGAACTTATTTGGCGTTCGAGATGAATCAAGAAAACATAAACGAACACAGATGATTTACAAAACTTACGAATTCTGGAAGATATATCATTCATCAGTTCAAATCACAAGCTGATCTTAGCCAGACCACCATTGAAAATCTGGAAGAACTGGACGGTCGAGGTGGTGGGTGGGCTCTACAGACGAGTTGAAAACTAGGACGAAATGGCTATTCACGTTTTCAATGGTAGTGTGATTTGAACTGGAAGACATCATACTGATTTTGACTGGCATAGTCCTATAGTGTAGTTACATCCTGGAGTGGATAAAGTGTACTCCAAACTTGGAAAGATTTAGCGCTGTAAACGATATATATAGGTACAGAAAAAATTTAATAAATATCCATTCACCTGACAGTAATTTGTCCACAGAATCGGGCGCATTGTCTTCAAAATCGATCTCCCCATTATCGTCATCATCATTACCGTTATCACCAACTGCAACACCGCTCCTATAATGCTGTTGATGAGTTGTCGTGGTATTTTCAATCGGAAGCGTATAGTTATCACCCGTACTGCATAAAGACGGTACACAATTCATAGGTGGGAAGTCAGAAATCTCAGTTTTATCAGCAGTTTTCGAAATAGATTCAAAAACGCTGTTGTAAGAAAAACAGTGAAACACTAAATAATTTATATTGTTGATCATATGATTCGGTCAGTCAGTCATAATCAACATAGAGACAGACAAAAATGTCCACGTTATAACCGGAATAAGTGGTTGAGGAAATCTGGTAACATGACTCAAAATCGTCCACAAGGACGCAAATTTACTCACAGTTTATTTTACTCTCGATCTTAAGTCCTAGTATTCCTTTACATATATATACCTTTTCGAACTAACTTTTCGAGTCATATTCCCAAAGTTAAGTTTTTCTCATTATCATTTCTACCACACTATTTCGACTCCATTATTCGTTTTGTTTTGCTAATACAGTATGGCAATTTGGGCTAAAGCATATTTGTACGACGCACTACGATGACTAACTGACTAGGACAAATGTGTATTAGCTCAAGTTGATTTAACGCACATCAGTACGATAAGATAAAATTAAAAAGATGAATTATGAAGGAGTCGAAATAACGTGGTATCAGTGATATTTAAGAAGACGAGATGATAGAGAATCTGATTTGAGAAAATAGAATGACAAGGTATATGTGGATATTAATTGTCGCCATTTACATGAATTCATTTAAAATGAAAGTCGAAAGGGGTCTTCATATGATCAACAAATTTTGCATTATATCAACTTATAAATGTGTTGTACGTACGTTCCCCGTCAAACAATTGTACTTCACATTTGCTATAGGTACGATATTAAAAATCTACTTACCATTTCAGAATCATTTCATACATTGAATTCTATGAAACATATGCCATGCTATTTATATTAGGCCCTAGCAATAGTATATATAAATTTAACACTCCTAGCTAGCTATATATAATTGCTTGTTATTTACAATTGACTTAGAAAAAAGGTAACAGTAGTATTTAATTATTTGATCTATTAAGTGTTTTATGTGAAAAACAATCGTTCTAGTTGTATTATCGCTTCACTTTAGATGTTGGTCAGCTCCTCTCCCCTTCATTGAAAGTTTTCTGCTCAAAATAGATGCCAATGATCAAGATTCAACTGAGTTTGTTACAGTGTATGGATAATTCAACGAGACAATCTAAGAAAAGTATAGAAGTAGGGATTGGTGAAAAGATTCATAAAAAAAAATAAAGTAGAATATAAAACTTACAGTTCTTCAGTCGATTGATTATTCATGTTTAACAATGTTACAGAAAGAACATTTTGAAGTTTTTCCGCTTCCGGTGGTTCATGTTGACTTGGAGAAATTGTTTCCATATTATGATTGAAACTGGAATTATCTTCAATTTCAGTTTTAATAGATAAATGGGAATTAGAATTATTAGATTTGTTAATTTCTCCATCATCAATTGATTTTCCAAAGTGTTAGGCATCAAAGAATCATGACTAGAAAAGTATGTTTACATATAAATGAACTGATCATTGTGGTAAATGAAAAAATAGGATTTGTAAATTTGAAAGTGATATACTTTGTATATAAATATATATACTTGTTATGTCCCGACAAGAATAATGAATGGTAATCTTGGGATCCATTTGTGGACCAATACTATACGTGTATTATTATTGCATACTTGTTAAGTAACTAAACTATTCATATTCATGTCCCTCTTATTATGAGCTTTATTTTGACCTATGAACTATTATTCTACGATTTACCATTCTTGAGTTATACCCCGTCTATCAATTACTACCTCCCTCACCCACAGCCACATCTGGTTAATTCTTGTACAAAGGTTGTTCCATATTTAATGCTACGTTGCGGTCTGTTTGATTGGTATATGAACTCAGTATGTTTGAAATATAATGATTCATATCGCATAGGCTGAGATTGGTGTTCTGGTCTTAACTGGCTGGGTTAGGCGGAAAGCAGGATCAATCAGGACTCTAGGCTGGTCGCACGTGTTTTACGCGTCCTTGGTCCGATCGATAATTCACTGCTCTCTCTCTAATCGGCGGTCACAAGTTATAACAATACTAAGGTATATTACTACACTTGATGTAATTGTAAAAGACTAATCAGTAAAATTAATTTAAATGTAGTTCTGATTTCTGGTACCTAATGAGTCCTGTAGTTGAACATTTAGATATTGACTTTTCAGTTCACAGAAAATCTTTCATTCTTGGAAATCAAACGAAAATCAGGGTACAAGAAACACAAAAGTTTGATTATTAAGGTTAGATTATGTATAGTAATCAAGACACTTTATAGGATAATAGATGAATTGAAGATTGTAGAAGTTTTAAGAAAAGATACAAAATTGTGGAAAATTCCAGATAATGAATTATTCAGGGATAAAGAAAGAACAACCACTCCTTCCCTTGATTTTACCTATAAGTTTTCAATGAGTAGTGATTGAATTCAGTATTTTCTGGAGGTTGTACATACATATTTTAAACAAACAAAACTGCGGAATGACGACTGAATTCGATTCAAATCCCGTAGTGTTAGAGGTAATAAGAGTATAAGCAGTAATCGAAAAGATTAGGGTTTGGAGATGTTATTTAAAGAGTATAATCCAGTGAAATAAATTTGGAAAGAGAAAAAAGAAACAAGGAGGAATCAGGAGATCAAAATTTGGGAGAACACAAAGAGTGGATGCACCTGCGCCATTGCAAACGATTTTGAGCCATGTCATTCAGGGTATCTAACCATCGGTTGCTATCATCTCGCCGTCCTCAACCAGGTAGTCTACACCTACCAACATGACTCAGTCTATTTGTCAGTGACTTCATGAACTTGTGCCATGTTTTGGTCTGGCCGCCCCTAGCTTTCTTCCAACCTACTCCTATACCACTGAACATCGCACGTCGAGGCAGTCGGTCGTTGGGCATATGCAACACGTGTCCCAGCCATCTCAACCGATGAAGTCTCACCACCTCATCAATCGATTTGCCATCCTTACCTAGTACCCGTTTCCTAACAACTGCCCTGGCGCCCAAGCCAAAGCAGGTGGTTTTCTAAGGGCCCACCCCTCGAGCGTTTTACCTAGATGTCTAATCTACAAGGCAGTGGAGAAACGTTAGGAGAGGCAGTCCCATGGTAGCCAGTGACCAACAATAGGTTCATACGCCATTTGTTCTTTTAGGATCCTGGAGCAAACTACTTGCTTGTTCCGCCTCTAGAGGTTATGGAATTAAGTCAAATTGCAAAAAAAATACATTTGACCGACAAATATCGTAAACTTATTATTCTGTGTTAAACCAGCCAGTCACTGAATACTAAACAATGTCATATATGAATACGGTTCAGTACTGACTAAATCATATCAGCCACTACATTTCCAGTCATTTTTACACTGTGTTACTGAAGGCTCATCAAACAATTCATTTTCAATATTTGGAAATATCCACAGCTGTTTGTAGTGAACATATCTAGTGCATGCAGTGCAGCCCAAAATGCCAGATGAAAAACATATAGTGAGATCTTATAGCGAAATGATTAATTGAATCGAGAGCTAAGTAGCAACATTTCCAAATGATGGAACATTGACGAGGAGGTTCGAATATACAGTAACAATCGCCACAAGGTTGCAGATATGATAAATATAGTAGCTGGTGCTGTACATCAACATTTGAAATATACACTAATAACGGAGTAATAGTACTAAGTATGCAGTCAGTTCTAAATAACTAATGGCATAGGGCAAAACACATATAAAATATATATAATGATTATTTCACTTACCCTAATTGTTTGCTAGTGAGTATTTCAGAGGAATCACGCTCATCAAGAAACTTGAAAACAGTAAATAGAAAAATGAGTTCTTAATGATTAAAAATAAATGTTCAAAACTATGCGATAAAATGAAAGAAAATATTCAACGCGACCTCCAACTGTCAGTAGATATTCTTACAAAATCGGTGAGGTAAAATATAAATATGAAACGGGTAGCTATATTTTATGAACTAGTTAGTTTATCTATATAAGTAATGGTTGTAAACTCTGTGTTACTAGTCCAATATTTATTGCTGTATCGACTGCCGTTCATACATCATAATTCGATTAACTGTGAATATGTTACTAAACACCGTAGAAGAAAATGTCCCAGATATGTTAATCACTGTTTTGTGATCTTCCATTTAAGTAATATGATCACGTAAGGCCTAGAGGCCTGAAAATTCTATAATTCATTCAAGCCTGAATCATTAGTACTCATAGTTAGCGATTCATATCCATAGGACGAAATAATCATCCCGTGTTTCTTGGTATCCTATATTTTATTAGACCAATTCACGTTGTGAACTACCGACATACATAGATTCACCCCAAAAATAGTATCCATGTCGTGTATGTAATGTGATTACAATAAGTGATATGTTTATCATATTTGATTTTGTTTCCACATATTTATTGGACCGTACAGTTATACGATTTATTATTGTAGAAATTGTCACATTTAGACAAATATACTACCTTTCTGATTTCAAGATCTTCAGTATGAACACATCTATAAATCAGAAAACAAAAACATTTCCACACAAAATACGAGTAGCATAAATAAATACAAACTGTCAGTAGAAGCTTATGAATCATGACGAATTGACTAATTTAAAAACATCAGGAAGAATTACGAAAGTACAATAAGAATAGATAGTTCCACGACAAAGTAAAAAAATCTATTTTGAGTTGATAGATGATGGATTGAATGACTAACAAAGCTCGATAGACAACAAAATTTTAGCGTGTATTAGACGTATTGCATGACTTGAAGGCTAATAATACTAACCAGATGTCTAAACCAAATTAATTAGGATAATGATGGAAATTTCGATAAAACAGTTCAAATGGATTCAACTCTTAACTTTCTTGAGTTTATGTATTGTCTCAAACTTCTTATTCAAAGATTTTACAACTTGCTTAAATTAAGTCCCAAATTTTTTGTAATAATGAATGAAAATTCCTAACTGGACTTCAATAATCGCAGATATATTAACACGACAACTTCACCTAGACCTAACACTTCTAGGGTTACTGAAGGTCTCAAGCTCGGGGTAACGCAGGAGTGTTGGACTTGGGGGTTAGTGATTTCATCCAGTAAGAAAAACAACTTTGCTTAAAAAAACTCTGTTAACACGAAACTAAGTGCGAAAGTATTAATAGAACACCTTAGTTTTATACGGACTACCAACAATTCAAACATCCTACAGGTAATAAATGGAATGGAATGAGATTACATGAAAAAACGGCATGAGGTAGGGAATGTCCAGAAATAATATTATCAAGTAGTCCGATAGATAAAAGTTACGTAAATACAAAAGTGTATATAGACACGAGAGTTTAGGACTAGTTGTATAAATAAGTACGAAGTGACCAATTGAATCTTAATGATGTACTTAGTTATTACATGATGCAACAGGTCTGTCATTATATGCAGTACAAACAAGTGAAGACTTGTATAAACTTGTGTTCCCTAAATACAATTCCTTCTCCTCATTGGATTGTGTCATTTTGTAGAGTTTCTTGCACCTTTCGGATCACCCAAGAAGATTTATCTATGTTGCTTCGGAATTATCTTGATTAAGCATTAAAGTAAAGTATTGGTATCGGAAAATCATCATTCTTTTGCTTTGGATAATGATCAATTTTAACTTCTGAAAACTGGACTTAGTTCATATGTATTCGATGTGTACGGTGGCTCAGTTAGTTACTTAATCTGATTTTCAGCTGCTAAGTCACGGAGTTGAAACCCCATACATTCTTTAACTTGGACAACAAACTGTGAAGTATTTTTTTAGACCCTGCATATAGTATGTCTCGAACCCAAGTCGGTATAAGTATCTGTAAATGAGTTCATGTATCGTCCCATCATCTAATTTTGCAATTCCTATCGTTTATTTTACCAATAATATCCATAATTACACCTTAAATTGATATTTACCAGATGTTTTTTTTAAAAGAATATCACTCTTGATGTATATGTACATAGTTTTAGATACAATTCAAGCTATCTAACCTCGCAATGTATATTATTATACTGAGATAAGACTGGTGACTAAGAATAGACTCTCATTAAACTGGATACTCATACGAGATACACTATATGATCACTTTACATCAGATATACGATTTACGACCAAAAATAATGAACTTAAAAGGTACAGACTGGACAATATTTTATTCCACATAATTGAAAGCAATCACTGTGATACTGTCAGAGTTCCCAGACCGAAAGCAGGCAGTTGTCTTAAGGACCTCTTTGTACTAATATTTATGTGTTCAATTAAATTAATTAAATAAGTTAATTCATTAACTTACAGAAGAAATATAAACGTGTTTAAGCGTTTTCATTACAAGCATATTAGACAAACAATAAAATGATGGATGTTGACCAATTCGTGATTTAGATGAAAGTGCCAAAGATGGAAGATTATTAAAAATATGATTAGTTGTAATGAATGTATACAGTAATTTGAATATACATTTTTGATAAGTTTTATGAATTGTACTGGATGACAGTTTCGAATGTGAAATCTCAGCAAATTTATATTGCTATCAAGAATATTTAGTGAAGACAACCAAATTAGGGAACAACGAATATACATATATAGTATTAGTATCTTTATCAATACACATCACAAAATTTGACTAACTTAAAGATTAAAATTATTATTTATTTATTTATGTTAACACATAGATATTGGTACAAGAAGGCACCAAATACATATGCGCCACACAAATCTCACTCGACATGTGTAAGGGCTGTGATACTGCCCGGGTGCCCAAACCGAAGCGGGTGGTTTTTGGGGGGACCATACCTGGAGCCTTCGACCTGAAGGTCTAATCCACAGGACATTGGAGGATCGTAAGGAGATGCAGTCCCATGGTAACCAGTGACCAACAATTTTTTTATAAACCATTTGTTCCCGCAGGATACTGGAGGCCATGTAAAAATTAGAATCTTTCATATGGAATTAAAATTTACGACTTATTTCATTACAGCTAAACAGTCGATTGGTGACTTAGTGTTGGAAACATTTGACTTTTGATCCATACGTCCAAGGCTAGAATTCACGCTTCAAGTATTTCACAGTTTGGGTACCTGGGGTAGTGGTATAATTAACCCTGACAAACAAAAATTGTGCCTCTAAATGAAGTACATAAAAATGTACTTGAATGAATTTTAATAGACAGTTTAAATAAATTTAGTAATAAGAGAATAAGTAGATCCTTTATCCATATTCTTAATATCGCCAATGATCACATCTTATTGGTTGGACTAAATATATGTGTAACCGGTCGGATGAAATTAAAACTGCATGGATTTGTAAAGAAGGTCTAACGCACGACTGTGGATGTAATAAACAACAAGTTCAGCATATTTATTTTTTAGCCAACAACTTCAATAGTATTGTTGAAAACGTAATAAGGGATGTTTGAGTAAGGTGACAGAATTTAAACATAAATCAAAGGTGAAACAAAACCGATTGAAAGCTTTGAATCATAATAAAGTATATTCAAAACCTGTAAAAATTTCATTGAAACTTGACCATGTAATCTGCACCTACCTATTTGGCTCAGTCTAAATTACAATGACTTAATGCACTTGGGCTCGACCACATCTAGCTTTCTTTTAACCTATTCGTACCAGACAGCATGGCCCATCGAGGTAATTAGGGGGTGGCCATACGTATAATATTTCCCAACCATTTTAGTTGATTTATTACCTCATCAAATGACTTCTCATTCTTACATGGTACACTGTCACTAACCTCGGCATTACTTACTCGGTGGACCGAAAATACAGGAGCAATGCTTTAAAGACATCTATGATCGAATACTAGTAACCTACGAATATCCTACACTCTTAGTGGCAATATTTCACACTCATTGAATAGAACAGGGCAAACGGCTGCACAGAAAACTCGTTATTCCATGAACCATTCCTTTTCAACAAATACATTTCCTATGAAAAACTATACATCAGAAATTTGTTTAAATTTATTCATTTATTTGAACATATAAAAACTGGTACAAGGGGGCACTAAATACATATACGTCACACAATAACAATGAGACCAGTAGCAGTTATCATTGATTTGCGTTAGAGCTATGATACTGCCCGGGTGACCAGACCGAAGTATGTGATTTTCTTAGTAGGCCACACGCGCAGCCTTTGACCTGAAGGTCTAATCCACACGGCAGTGAATCAACGTTAGGAGATGCAGTCCAGTGGTGGTCAGTGGCCAACAATTGGTTCATATGCCATTTGTTCCCTCAGGATTCCGGAATCCATGTGCACTAATGGTTTGGAATAAGGATTTTCCAACCTCCCTATGTGGATCCTCCATATTCACCAAAGGAACGATGTTTTAAGTTACAGTAGGCTCAAGATTAAAAGAACAATATTCGTTTCAATACGGTTTAGTTAGAAGCATATCAATTTATAGCTAAAGATATTGATCATGATTATCATACACGGATGGCGACTAAAATGTCTACATTTATTGAAAAGCCTGGATCCAATAGTCAATGACTTGATGCAAAAATATGTAATATATGTACCAACTAAACAACAGTCGATGAATATGATGATTCGGTTCGCATAGTGGGGGCTGGTATTGGTGTTCTGGACTCAAGTGGACGGGCTGGACGGACATAGGACCGATAAGGACGCTAGGCTGCTCAGACCGGTCGAACGTCATTGGTTTGGCATAGTGCTAAGATTGTATAAGTCGTATTTTGATTGGTGGATAAATCACCACTTCCATTTAGCATTTTTCTCCGTCTTAAGTCTGTGCCTGGTTACTAAATATGTAAAGTTGTTCCGCTCTAATTTTATCTAAGTAGAATAGCAAGTTTCCTTCTGTACTACTGTCTTCTTTCTTGGTTCCATGACCAGGAACCATTAGCGAAAAGTTCTGTGTGTTGGTTGCTAGTTCGTCGAGTTTGCAATAGATTTCATTTGTATTAGAATAACCTCGATTATTCATTATTAGTGGCTGCTGTAGGCTAAAACAGACAAATTTCAAGATACAACAGTTTTACAACGGTTATTCTGTATATCCGACTGTTTGATAAGCAAACGGGAAACTTATACTAAGTAGAAAATATCGAAAGTTATCCAAGCTCTTAATGAAACACAAAACGTTGAAATTCGCTTACATATTTTACCCACTTTTAAACTGTCAGCTAACAATATGAAACTCAAAAAGAAAGTAACAGTTTATAGTAAATTTAAACAACTCTGTCTGAAGCCCTTCTAGAGTTATCGCCCGTCCCAAGCTATGACAAAAGAGGGTTGTCTGACATGCAGCTACCAAATCCATCCCATAAAAAAGGAACTTGATAAAAAAAACTCTAGCAAGTAGACAAAAGTACGGAATAAATAAAGAAGTAAAACGCAAGTAAAAATTGTTTTTCATAACAAAAAAACGTAAAAAAAGGCAGACTTACTTCATGAGATTCAACTTTTTCTTGAACAATAGCATTTATGTTAAGTGATGAAGTAAAAGGAGAAGGTATTGAACTTGACAGATCCTTATTACTAGAGTTATCAATAGCAGTGGGGAGAGTAGGGTCTGTTAATTCACGTTGATGATGAACAGGTGATTCCACTGAAGATTGTTTCATTATATTTGTAATTAATTCGAGTTTATCTATAAGTATAAAAAAGGAGTATGGATATATAAAACTGACTGATTAGTCATTTTTGCCTAGACCTTAGGAATTGACTAGAAACTCCCGACCAATTCACAATGTGACCATTAGTCTAAGTAACTCGATATTGCATGCATTATTGTTCGGATGTAAAAAGTTGGAGACAGGACACACCGACTGACACTAAAGCTTACTAGTAATCTTGAAACGACTAATTCACACTTTGAGATTCAAGCCCTTATCATTCTGCTTTACAGTCGTAACCACTATGTTATTTGTGCCACGACTAACTGAGTATCCTACAGCCTGACTTCAATCACCTAACAAGAATACATACATATGTATGCTTTTTTTCTATGATGTTCAACAATGTATTAGAAAAGTGTTTAGATAAACAATTTGAAACTCTACTGAATAGTAGTAAATGAAAATTCAGTACTGAAATGAATTGTTATGAAACACAAAAAAGGGCTAGAAGGAAATTCTAACTATACATGATAACAAAGAGAATATGTCATTAGATTAGAATGCATAACAATAAAGGTGAACTTCATAACAGACAACATTAAAGAGATATCATGATGTAATACAGATGTAAGTGTTATTTACAGTTTTAAATTTTTATAACGCAGTTTAATACGTGTTGTGCTGTTATTCGTAAATAGTCTAGTATCGGACCTATTTTTCATGATGTTCCACGATCAGTTTAATATATACTATTGCTACCTCCTTGTATTTCATTTTTACCTCTTAGTGCTCAATCACTGTAACTCTTCAATTCCTCCTCTATATAGAATTGTGACAGATTTGTAATCCCTTCATAGGTTGTATGATAATAGTGAGGATCAATATACACTTCATTTTTACAATGTTCCGTAAATATCTCCAAATCTTTTTTTGTCATTCATCCCTTCCGCTTTTCTAAAGGTGTAACTATTCATGATCAAAAACCCAATGGCTTTATCACTTTTTACGTCATCTAATTCTATTATGCCATAGCATAATAGAACATAACTAGTCATGTCGTTCTTTACCTTTATGCATATATGGTGCCATTATGAATTTCAATAATTTCATTTGTAATGAACAGATAGTAATATACTATATACAAACCTACAATTTCATTACAATTAAATGATTCTATGTTGAATTTTATATGCTTACTTTTTTCTAATCAATTGTATCTATGCACACAATACCCAACAAAATCATCTCGGAAAAAAACCCTGATAATTAGTTCAAATTTCAGGTTTATTCGACGCTTGCCATTGTGTGAATCGATCTAATTAATACTAGCCTTTTTGTTGGATATGATCTCTTTTAAGACTGACATTCTAATACGCTGACCATTAATGGTATAAATCTCACTCATACAATACATATCGACAAACAATGATTTTCCGAATTGATCTTCTAGCTCGACATGATCAATTTTACATATATAATGATTAATAGACGTGAAGATTTTCTATATGGGGCCTGAGAAGTCCTGCTACCGATAAGCCAAAACTATTTCTTACTATTCGGTTCTTATAACCCTAACCTACTTCGACATATCAACTGGAAGAATAGAGCGAAAAATTGTGAGTAAACACTTTACTTCGAAGTAAGTTTATGTACAGGAAAAATAAGGGTATTTATAGAGTAATACATAACCTTGAGTATTTAGAAATTTCTGGGAACATGCTAAATATTAATATGGCTAAACATTCAAGCAAAACCGTGACACGTGATTCTGGATTCGTAGATGTCTCTGGAAAGTGTATATTCAACGATAATCGGATTAAGTGTTTCTGGGTCTCTAAAGATTTTGACAAGGGATATTTTGGGACTCTCAAGACAAAGTCCAGGACGATAGTGTTAAACGTAACGAACTCTTAATTCTTTTTATATAGATTTTATATAACAGACAAACCAAACACTAATCGTACATACCAATTGGAAACATATCATAACCCAGTAATACTAGATTTTATAAACGAATGAATTAAGATCTGAGATAGCAACTCTTGGATTTTCATACAGCTGCAAAGAATGAAAACTTAAACTTTAAAACCCATAGCCTTAACCATAACTAATAACAATAAAGAAAGTTTTAAAAATCTATTTCGATCATCTAAAGGGATTCGAGAAGATTGATCATTCATATATCTATATGAATGAATTTCAATGTCATTGTTTATCTAATTAACAGTGAAAGTAACCTGTAGAGCATACTTTGTGATACAGTATTGTTTCCCTCTTTTAAAAATTATTGATTTACAAAAGTTGTTATCTAATCAGGCTAAAAAAAAATTTAGTTGAGAATTTATCGTAACTATTTTAACCTTATCTGTATTCTCTGACCACTATTACTGTGTAGAGTAGACTTTTAAACGAGACAAAAATTTATGAACAAACCAATGAAATTAAAGGTAGCACGTCTTGGATTTTGGTGAGAAACTAATTCATTCAAATGATCAGATGGTATTTTGGCATAATAGGTGATGTAAATTACTTACTTACGGCATGTCACCCCTAGTGGAGGAGCAACATTTTTTATTCAGCTCTGTGCTAGACAATCCTTTCCAGTTGCTATCCACTCTTTTCATGTCTGCTTCTAATGCTCGACGCACTGTTTTTTTGACCTTCCTCTTTTCTGCTTTTCTTCAGGATTCCAAGTTAGCGTTTGCTTGGTGACGCAATCTAATGATTTCCGAAATGTATGTCCTATCCACTTATAGGGTCTTTTTCCTATTTTCCTCTTCATTTGGAAGTTGATTTGTTCTCTCTCACTTAAAGCTGTTGCTGATGGTAACCGTTTAACGGACATAAAGTATCTTGCGTAAACAATTGTTTATAAATACTTGTACTTTTTAATGATGTTGATTGTGGTAGTTATTTAAGTTCGTGATACAAAACCTTAACTCATAACTTTTCAGTTCTAATTCTAATTTGTCATACTGACTGATAAACCCTTTTTGACACTAGTAATTAGGTGAGTTCAGTCAATCAGTCGACTACAACGTATGACCAGGCACATATATGCATCGGTCCAAGTTGCCATACCTCATTAACACAACAAGATGGACACCGGATTCATAGCAGTGGTTAAGTCAATGGTGGTAATATATAGAAGAAAGATTGCATATAAAAGGATATAGTACAGGAAGAAAGAATTAGTTCGTAGAAAAGAAGATATGAGGCGATTTTAATCTCTTAGTTCAAGGGAAGACAGAGAGTGTATACACCGACGCCATTGTGATCGATTCTGAACCATATCACCAAGACTCTCCAACCATTGGTTACGATAGTCACACGGACTCCAACCAAGTAGTTTGCATCTACCAACATGGCTCAGACTAGAAGTTAGTGACTTTGTGGAATGATGCCACGTTTTGGTTTGGCCGCCCCTAACTTTCTTCCAATCATCCCCAACACAAGTCAGCATTACACGTCGTGGTAATCGGTGTTCAGGCATACACACACGTAACACGTGGCCCAACCTCTAACAACACTTAAGACCATTGTATTCATAATTAGGTGGAGTTACATTAATGTCACTTAAATATCCTACATAAATTAGTCTCAATAATACTCTTTCTTATTTAATTTCATAATTACAATAATAATTTTGTAGCTTACCTGATTCAGATCGATGAGGCAGATCAAATCGAATGGTACCATTTAATAGATTTCTATAGAAATAGAACATTAAAATAGTGTGATCAAAAAAGAAAAACAAAGAGGAAAAAAAAACATTCGTGAAACCCAACACAAACTACATGAATCATTTATATATAATGAAATGTAAATGGAGTTTGTCATGAGATCACAGAAAAAAAGGTATAAGAGAAGATCAATAAAATAACTAACTGTATCATGTATTATTCTCATATACATTGGTATGCATTATGAATGCTGGAGTTAATTGAAGAAAAAAAAACAATTATCTAATAAATATGATCAAGTCTATATGAAAGATTCAAATTATAAATGGTAAAATAGATAGATTTTGTGTATTGTTGTCATATGTTAGTTAATTTAATGTTTGGATTTACACTTGCATACCTGTTGACAACACAAACCTGTTGCTCATCATATTTTTTTTTAAATTTAAGCGACAAATGATTTATTGTCAAGACGAATAAATCAACAGATATATACAGATAAACGAGAGAAAGAGAGAGGGAGGGAGGAGGCTGGTGGGACAAACATATGTTAACTAACTCAGACATGATGATTGGTAGAAATAAAATGTAAAACTTTGAGCAATCATTGATATTTTCAACATATTTGGATTGTAAGCAATGATGGATAGTGGCTAGCAGTGGAATCCAGGACGGGCGTTTCGTCCTGTTTGGGACTCGTCAGCTGGATGTACCTGCATCTCAGAGTTGATGTTCACTCTGGGACTCGAACTCAGTACCGTTCGCTTCAAACGCCATCGCGTTATCCACTTAGCTACTGAGTCCTGGATTCCACTGCTAGCCACTATCCATCTTTGCTTATAATGCTTGTAAATTAAGGCAATATCGAGGCATACGCACAGTATGCACATATGCCAATAAGAGACTGATCAATTTCAGTCCTAAAACATCAATGGGAAGATTCAAGTAAAACAATATCAAGTGAACATTTGGATTGTGATGGAAATATAATTCCAGTGATAATGTCTTCAATTGGGACAATAGACACACACACACAAAAATCAATCTGTATGGATTTTAAACAACTGAAATCGACTGAATCGATCGTTGTTAAAACGTATGCTCTAGGATATGTCTCAGTTTAATTTATTATATCACACACTGAAAAAAGTTAGATGTAATTACCAATACTAGTAATGATAAAGTCAGTGGTCTTGAGTGCAGTTAGAGGTATGAGGGCGGTTTTCACTACATGGTTTCCCACATCATGGAAGGGTTTTTCTAGAGGTACCTGAAAAGCAAATTGGGTTAAAGTTGGTTTTAGCGAACTAAGAGCGTGACCTCAGTGCCTAAGGGAAAACTGTTGGAGAACGGTCACATACGACCTTTTTGTAAGTAATTGTCATGTCAGCCCCATAATTGTTGGGACATAATCGATGGAGGCGGAAATCTGTGAGATAAGGTGAGACGTGTATTTTTAGGGTCAGCCTTTTGTAGTCACATCCTTCCTTGTGGGAAGGCAGTATCACTGTTGTGCTGTTTATCTGAAGGAAACATCTTACTGCCATCACACCTCTGCACAGTCAGCAATCGAACTTCGCCGTCGGCCCTTGGGCTTGCTGCATTAAGTCGTACAATTATTCGACCGACCTCGAGGAACGATTTTTCAGCCAGTATAACCCGACTAGCTCATCACGATGGGCAAGTCCAACCACCACCTCAAGGTAACAGCAATTTTTATTTTATATATTACTACTATTGAAGTAACTCCTATGAATTTGGTGATCATCTTGTTTTGCTAATGAAGTATGGCAACCTGGACCGATGCATATATGTGTCTAATCCTACGTTATAGCTGACTGACCAAATAATAAAGTCAAAATGACACCATGTTACATATATAACATCAGTTTTATTATTGGAGAATATAGTTCGACAAGGCAATATATTTATGAAAGAATTCAAGTACCCTAGAAGTACACTAGAAAAACGATCATTTGACTGCTAATTGATGTTCATGCAGACGAAGATGAAGAGGGCGTCCGTTTTGTCTGATGTAGTGTTTATCGCAGTTGGCACAATTTATTTTGTAGACGCCATGACATGTCCTCACTTATATCAATGCACGTGGACAACTGCGGACACACATTCGACTGGAAAAATGTTGAAAAATTGGATAGTGGAAATTCCAAAAACATTAGAGAATTTTTAGATACTTGGCACTCAGATCAATCAGCAATCACCAAGCACATTGAAATCGATCCAATTTTACAACCAATCAGGAAAATTATGAACAAACATAGGACAAAGTTCAAACCAATGGGAGACACAATCAAAACAAAGAAGTAAACAATGACAAGTTTAAAGTCAATAAGAACCATTTAACATTGAGATCTACAGCATAAGCTGTGAACCATATGTGGAGAAATTCGAATACTACACTACATGAGATCTAAAAGTATTGGATCCAATGGTCCTTAGAGGAGTTAAGGATTTACACTGTAGAGTAGCTCATCATATTCGGACAAAAAAAGAGACTGCCCTAGTGCTTCCTGTATTTTTTTTATTTTTTGATAATTGTTTAAGTAAAATCAATTCATAATGTAAAGTATATCCTGTAATTTAACAGTTCAATGCAAATTAATAACAGTATGACAACAGAGAAAATTTCTATTCAGTTCGAAGAATTGAACACATTGAATCTACACAAATTGCTTAAAGAAAAATTAAATCAATGTAGAATAGTCAATTTAAGTAATCACATGTAAAAAGTGTAAAATTGTAGTATAGAGACAAGTTTATTATTATTAAAAAATTAACTTGAAGTTTCGCAAAAAAAAAAACTCAAAAACAAACAGGTAAGATGTACAATAGAAATATCTTTTTGTAGCGTAATGTTTAGGTTAAACAGGAACAGGGTATCAATAAATGATAACAAGTTAGCTGATAAGATTATAAATCTTCATCAACCTAAGTAATTACAATGTGATAGGTATATTGGACAACTGCCTTCTTCAACAAGCGATGCTTGTTATTGAGGAGGTAGAAAACGTGGCATCAGTTCATAAAGTCATTGACTATTAGTCTTAACCATGTTTGTAGATGTAAATTACCTGAGTTATGTTTCACCTGACAGCAGTGAGCATTACTGTTTTGAGACGTTGGATGACATGGTTCAGAATCTGGTTTAATCGGTCTTCCTTTTAGTCTACTTTGTTTATAGTAAATTCACAAAGAAATCATTTTATTGATGTTTTACTAAACAATAGGTAAGTTAATGTCGTAGGAATAATTTTTCTGGTTAGCAGCATATTTACAACTGAGGAACATCTGGAACTCAAAGCAACTGTCAACCAACACCAAGGTCAGAATTTCCAATTAGAATGTCAAGACAGACCTACTGTATGGGGCAGAAACTTCCAGACCTACGGAAACCATCATCCAGAACATACAGGTGTTTATTAACAGTTGTCTACGCAAAATATTTCACATCCGTTGGCCGGACACTATTAGCAACAACCTACTATGGGAGAGAAAAAACCAGGTCCCAGCGAAGGAAGAAATCAGGAAGAATCGCTGGAAGTGGATAGCACACATTGAGGAAAGCACCCAACTGCGTCACAAGACAAGCCCTCACATGGAATCCTCAAGGCCAAACGAAAAGAGGAAGACCAAAGAACACATTACGCCGAGAAATGGAGATAGACATGAGAAAAATGAACAAGAATTGGATGGAACTATAAAAGAAGGCCCAGGACAGAGTGGGTTGGAGAATGCTGGTCAGCGGCCTATGCTCCATTGGGAGTAACAGGCGTAAGTAAGTAAGTAAATAATGTCGTAGGAATGTCAAAATAGCTATCTACACATAATTACTTCATATTGATATAGCCGCAACGATGGTTCTCTAATAATTTCATCTTTATAACCCTAACGAATTTGTTAATAAAGATATCGTATGTTAACATGAATTTTCCACAAAACTATTTACAGCTATGAGAGGTATTCATAGGCAAATTTACCTACAGTAAATTGAATGCGACTGGATCGCAAAGTCTCTTCAACATTATGATTAAGTAACTGATAATCAGTCACCAAAAAACGATAAACTTCCTAAAAAACCATTAAACTCTAACAGGTTTGATTACTTTTGTTAACAAATATAACTGATTTGCACAAACACTCTGTTCATTGACTTTTAAAAGTGGTTTCAAAGTCACGAGAGGATTTTTGAGAGTAGCCTAAAGCTATAGTCTTTAAACTATAAGTTTTATCGTGTACAATAGCAATCTACTAATCATACACAAAGGTATGTAGTTTAGTCATTAGTTTCTATTCATTAAGAAAATGCTTTTAATAAAATTTTAAAACAAAAACCAACATGAAAATAATCAAAGGAATGGGAAGATACTAACCGATTATGAATGATATGTATATCCAAACATATTTGATCCATTAAAACTTTATGTGAACCGATTTTCTCTTTTATAGAAAGGGGATCTATTGAAGTGAAATGAAATTGAAAAGAATAACAACCATGATAAGATTAATATTCGATCAACAATGTAGAACGTGGTGTGCATTAGTTCAATTTGCCAAAACACAATACATATAGTCAGAATAAATTATTAAAACAAATCCCAGAGTATAATAAAAATAATAACAGTATCAGTAGTAATAGTAGAAAACATTAGGTTAAGATTGAAGAAAGAATAGTATAAATAGATTTAGAGACTCATGATTTAAGAGGAAATAAAGATAGAATGTACCCGGATCACTAACCAATGCCTACAACAATTGTAAGGACTCTATATCTATATCTACCAACATGGCTGAATCAAATATAATTGATCAACAAATACTGTATTTCAGTTTCCCCACTCCAAACATTCGTTCAAGTAACTCCTACATCAGTGAGCATTGGAGTCGAGGTAGATTTTGACTGAGAATACGTGATACATGGTTCAAACATCTCAGTGGATGAAAAACCACAAAGTCATTAACAGATTTCCAATCATTACCTTGATTATTCGGTAGTTACAGGATATATATCTAAAGCTTTACAGATAAATAATTGTAACTAAACACTAGTAACTTACGAATGTCTTCTAATCTTAACAATCCCCAAATACCCTGGTACGGCCGAGAGTGTGGGGTGTCAACTCACCCTCTCCAAACGCTCTCACATGGCCACGTGCATACAACCACTGCCTTCTCACGGTGAGAGTGTAGTTTACGAAACTGAGAGGACAAAAAGCGAATGTCCGGCAGTTTAACCGGGTTGGCGGACACGGAAAGTCCACATAGGGCAGTTGGAAAATCCTCATTCCAAGCCACTGGTGAACATGGACTCCAGGATCCTAAGGAAACAAATAGCGTATGAACCAATCGTTGATCACCGGCTACCATGGGACCGCATCTCCTGACGTTGCTCCACTGCCTTGTGGATTAGACCTTTAGGTGAAAGACTCGGGGTGTGGCCCCCTAAGAGAAACCCCTGCTTCGGTTTAGGAGCCCGGGTAGTGTCCTAGCTCCCACATAAATGGAATGATTTATGTGACACATATCTATTTGGTGCCTCCTTGTACCAATGTTTTGTGTTTAAATAAATAAATAACCGTCATATTTCATAACTCATAAAGAAAAATGCAAAGAACTGCTGTGCAGTAAGCTAAATAATAATAACAAATACATATTGACATTATTTTCAGTTAAACAGAGAACGATGAAAACAACTGGCACAAATGCATAAAAGGAATAAATCAACTTGAATTATGTATAACTCAATCAGTAAAAAGCAAACAGTACAAAGCAATAATTAATAAGTTGTTTTGGGAACGATCATTCAAACAGTTGCTGGGATATTATAGTGAAAGCGCACATAGATTGACTGTTTAATCCTATTTTGAAACTTATCAATAATAATCCACAATAAATATTATAAGTCAAATTACGCAACAAAATAGAGAAAGCAAGAAAGTCAAAACGCGCGAAAAAAAGTGACGATATTCAAATAACAGAAGCAATGATTGACTATAGAGATCAATTTAGGGGAAATAATTTACATTGCTGTGTATTTTAGTCACTATCTATTGAGTTTGTTCAACTAGTGTGATTTCTGTTAAGAGTTCTTGTATTGTTTCAGGTTTGTCAGTCAGTCAGCTACAACGTAGAACCAGGCACATATATACATCGGTCCAAGTTGCCACAACTCGTTAGTACAACAAAATGAACACCAAATTGATAGTAGTTACTCCAATGATAGTAATATATGAAAGAAAGATTGCACATAAGAATATGATACAGGGAGAAAGAATTAGTTCGTAGAAAGAGAGGAATAAGGTAATTTTTATCTCACGGTTTAAGGAAAGATAAAGAGTGCATACACCTACACCATTGTGATCAATTCTGAACCATGTCACCCAGAGTCATCAACCACTAGTTGCCATAGTCGCGCGGACCCCCAACCAAGAAGTTTGCATGTACCAACATGGCTCACACCGGAAGTTAATTACAGTATGGACTAATGCCACGTTTTGGTTTGGCCGCCCATAACTTTCTTCAAACCGTCTCCAACACTAGTCGACAATGCGCGGGTTAGAAAAAGTTGACCCCAAAAATGTACACGTTGCCTTATCTCACGGATTTTCGTCTCCGGTAGTTAGGCCTCAGCAAGTACGGAGTGGACATGAAAATTACTCACAAAAAGGTCGTATGTGATCGGCCCCAAACAATTGTCCCCTGGGCACTGAGGTCACGCCATCAGGTCACTAAGACCACCCCTAGACCATTTCCCTTTACAGGTACCTCTAGAAGAACCCTTCCACGATGTGGGCAACCGGAAAGTGATAACCGCCCTCATGTCTCTCACAGCACTCAAGACCACTGTTTTAGGTTTGTAAACTTTAATTACATTTGAAGCAGTGATGTATTAGTGTCATACTTAGGTGCCAATCGGATTTTGTGTAACTTACACTCTGTAGCTATGAATTAATTGGATCGCTCACTCAACTGAACCATTACTAGTTTCCAACACCTGCTCTGGTATTAGATCACCGATGCAATTTCTTCCATAACAGCCCCACTAACCTTTTTCATCTAATCTCTTATTAACAAGTATGAATATCAACTAGCCGTTATGCAATACTGACGTGCTTTAAGTCAAAATTTTCTACTTTTATTACCCATTATTGATCGCAACCATCCTAAAGATGGTTAACTAGATAGAATTTTTAGAGCCAACTAACTGTGGAATGAGTAATCGTATAACAAAAATTAAACGAATATCAACACAATTGTGTTTTCTCTTGTGATCCTTAATCTGTTGTGGCTTGAAATATCATGCTTTATTGCCCAATTAAGGTTGCGATTGTCGACTAGTTCACCAGTGTGACAGGACAGGTCATCATCTGTCGAATGGCAGGTAAACATTGAGATTTTCAATTTTCAGTATAATTAGGATAAGTTAAGCGGTTAGAGGTAATCAGCAGGGAATTCTGTGATACGTTTCTTGGATGTTGGCACTCGTTAGTATTGTGAGCGAAATTTGGTGATCTACAGTATTATGTTTACTACGATCAAACACCTAATATCTCAACATAATGCACACTATGTTGAGTAATTTAAACTAGTGACTTGATCGACACAATTCGATCAGCACTAAAAGATAAGACAAACATAACATTGATAACTACTCAATGACCAGTTAATTGTAATAAGAATAGAGAGAGTAGATTGTTCTGCTTTGTAGGGGATAACTTTATGTATAAAATTCATATTAGACAGGGACATGTAACTGACTAATTACTTTAGTTGGCAGAACAAACAGTAATCCAATATAACTATGGGGTGACGGAATAAGTTTTCTTCCAAGAAAAAAAACAAAAAAGATTAACTACTACTTATACGACATAATTCTCATATGGATACGCACTAACCTACACCAGTTTTAGCTTTCCTTGAAGAAGGACCTAAAGCAAACAACAGACACGGTGTTGTCAATAGAAATTCTCCAATAGAAATGAAGCAGCATATCTTCTTCGATACTGATAACATTGATGACGATGAAGAGGACAACGACCTTTCGTTATCACTTGAAACAAGAACATCTTTTACAACGGCCAATTCAAGTGTATACAGTACCTAAACGGAATAAAAACGAAGATTATTAGAACATGTAAGCACTTTTATATGCCAATATGAGTAAAGTTAGTTATACTGTTAGGATTGATAAATTGGGAACATGTACCAAAAACAAAAATCAATGTAAATGTAAAATTTCAGGTCAGCATTCAAGATGTAAAAAGGTAATAAATATCCTCAAGACCAAAGAACACACTACGTCGGGAAACAGAGACAGACATGAGAAAAATGAACAACAATTGGATAGAACTGGAAAGGAAGACCCAGGACAGAGTGGGTTGGAGAATGCTGATCGGCGGCCTATGCTCCATTGGGAGGAGTAAGCGTAAGTAAGTGTAACTAGAATTATTCGTAATTGTTTTGGGTTTTTTTCATTGTTTACATTTATGACTGAATTTCGATTCATTTACGTTGACACAAGGGGACGGATTGTATCTAAAACTGTAACTAAAAAGCAATATCAGGAGATCCATTAATGATATAAATATATATTATCAAACATGGATAAAAATTCAATCCTGAATATCAGCAGCGAGAAATTGAAAACGAACTAATGATAAATATCAAACCTATTGAACAACGTATTGACTGTTATAGCTCAGTAACCTGATGGATAACGTATCGGTGTTTGAAATGCTAACTATTGGGTTTGAATAATAGTGTGGATATCAACAGTGGAATACAGATACAACAAACTAACAAGTCCCGGGGATATGACAAAACACACATCCTGTATTTCACTATTAGTTATAATCTAAAAAGTATAACAACTATAGTTTACAGAAATTCTACCATTTATATAGAATAAAGAGGAAAACTTGTAAAAGTATAAACTAACATTAGACAATAAATTCGATGTGTATGATAAGAGTACTGCTAATGATCAGTTTTTTTTTCGTACTTATTAAAACAAACACAAAAATGAATCCTGTCGTTAAATGATCTACTTATTAAATGAAACTGATCAGTCATAAAAATAAACAAATTCGATCGATGTGATTATTTGAATTGCTTATTTATAATACTTGGGTTCAATAAATCACACTGAGCCATGTTGGTGGATGCAGAATACTTGGTTGGGGTTCGCGTGACTATCGTACACAATGGTTGGAGACTCTTGGTGACATGGCTCAGAATCGATCACAATGGCGTAGGTGTATACACTCTCTATCTTCCCTTAAACTAAGAGATTAAAATCGCTTCATATCATTCTTTTTACGAACTAATTATTACTTCCTGTAATATACCCTCATATGCAATCTTTCTTTTATATATCACCATCACTGAATTAATTACTTTTATGAAACCGGTGTCATTCTTGTTGTGTTAATGAGGTATGGCAACTTGGACCAATGCATATATGTGCCTGGTCCTACGTTGTAGCTGACTAACTGACTGATAAATCACACTTCATAAAAGATTTTCACTAGATACGATTTTGTACTCCATTGACACAAATAAAAAAACAAGAAACAATCTTATTTCACTGTTAATACATTTGTGATTAATAACTATAAAGATAAAAAACAGAAGATCAGAGTACATAAATCCGTTAGACCTTACTAAGGAAGCCAACAATTTCGATTAGTTGTAATAGATGGCTATTTCCAAATACGTCAAAACTGTTTTAAGATGGTTGAATACAATCTAATAATTAAGTGAGCTAATAAACCAGATCAAATGTAATTAATAGCATTAAATATTACACGAAAGGATGGACAGATTATAAATTTTATTTACAACATTTACAACAAAACGTCTGAGTTAAATACCGGCATAAAGATTTGTAAATATTTGAATTCTTACAAGAAAAGTTTTATAAGTTAGTCTGACGCTGCTTAGTTAATACGTCTTTTCACTCCCTAACAATGATTTAGTCGTCAAGGTATCCGACTTTCAACGAATAGGTCACAGGTTCAAGTTCCGCTGCATTTACTTCGATTTGGGCAACCGGGTAGTAGTATCACTAGTCAGTGTAAATAAAAATGAGTACATCAGTCTTTATTTAGTAATTTGCATCGATTCTCTAACGTGGAACTATATACGGTGAAAACTTTGAAAGCACATAACCTATATACACAATAGGTCTATATTTTAAAACGCGGCTTAGTTCGACAGTCAATAACTTCATCGACTAATGTTGTGTTTTGGTTAGGCTGCCCTTAGGTATTCTTTCAGTCAGCTCTTTGTTAACCAGCATAACACAAGTGTAAGTGCAACGCATGGGTATGTAAAACATATGTCTCAAACAACTCAATCGATGAGGAACCACAGCTGCATCAATCTACTGACGATAAAGAAAGCCCCGAATGTGACATCAGTATTTTTTCACATATATTTCACACAGAAAACGTTTCTGAGAAAAGTTTGCACAGACAAGCATACGAAATATTTAATACTGACACTATATTCAAATACAATACACGAAATTTCACCATATAACTGATTAAAAAAATTACAGACGACTAAAAAATTCAACCAGAGAATTTTATTCTAAGTAATAAGACATTGGAATAAGCGTGCATGAACATTTAAACTAGGCCCGATTAATAGTGGTTAAATACATATCTTTGTCTGAGTCAGAAGTAAAATTGTATATATCCTGATGTTTGTTGAGATAATAATTCGGTTTTAGTAGTTAAACCTTTGTACTTATTTCAGTCATCTAATTTGTATATTGGGTTTGGATAACCGTAAGAAGTGTGTATCATAACTGAATTAGACTGCAGAACACAATGCAAACGCACCAGGAGAAAAAGTATTAATTTAATAATTTCAATGAAATACATGAACTATAATTTCCTTTAAAAAGAAAAACTGTATGTAAGCACATATACATTTATGCTTACTTACTCTTCGTGTTACATCAGTGGCAATTAGAAAAGAGGCGGACTGATCAACAGCTAATATTATGCTCGATTTCGATAATGAAATATTTAAAGATTTTAGTAAATCTGTACTGGGTATCACAGAACAAAACTCTATAACTTGTAGACAGGACCAATCGGAACATGACCAAAGACGTATTTCACGATTAGACTCTGCACCGGTTAAAAGATAACTCCATGTTATACTAAATATTGGAAAAAAAAAGATTAAGTTAGATAGCAAAACAAAATTTTCATATCATCAATTGGTCAACCAATGTTACAAAAAGCTGGAACATGCTCTTTATAACAAATCTTATAAACCTACTCTATAACCATGGGCTAAGGTATCCATCAGCATTTATTGAATGAGACAAAGAAATCTTAGTTTTCTCGTTTAGTTATGTATTGACTTATTATGAGCGTGATTGTGATAATGGGGTAAATACTGAAACCTATGGAGCTATTTATCTGTTTGTTATTAACTACATTGTTTAATCAGTTAACTATAAAATTGCATTTCTACATTCCTCTTATCGTAAGCTTCCGGTGGATCCATCAACTGTCGCTATACACTTTATCATCCCTTAGTTATAGCTAATTAATTGTGCATTGTCTGGTATCATTTATGGTATGATTGTGTTTAAAGTATGATTTTTTTTTATTTGATGTGCTGTGTAGTCAATCATTTCAATTATATTATTGCATGAGTTTTGAGTCATGGTTGAATTAGATAATAATGGAAGCTGGTTGCTGGCTTTTCTCTTGGACCCAAGCTCGGAAACAGAAGGCTTGAGTATAGAGGACTAATAGGAGCTTAACTTGAGTCGGCCTAGAATTAACTATGAGGGTTCGAGGTGTAAATGGTCAAGTCCAGGGTGCTAGGCTGCAAATGGAATAGTAGACACGAGATAGAGAAAATCATAGTCGGAATTCCGATTAATGCATTTAACGCGTGACATCGATTATTGTCTTAAGCCACAATAATTATCATCATTATTATTTTCGATCGCATATTCTCTTCCCCATACATGTAGATTTTCCACATACACATAAATAAAACTCAGCTCACTTACACTGTATAATGTAGGGTTTCTGTGTTTCGAATATTCTGGTTTGCTGTTTTACTCCAAGTTAACGTTTTAACTTTATCAATAATTAAGTATGCCGACTTATTATTATTTCTTAAATTCTGCTGTATGCTGTAAATTTGGGTGGTTTACAGCAAGGTGGTGATCATAAACCTGAAAATCGAATGATGAATTCATTTTATGTTACAAATTCCGCCCTTATTTTGTTAGATAGTATATTAGTTTCAAAGTTTTGAGTGTATTTCTCTTGATAGACACATAAGCAAGTAATGAATTTAGGCTCAAAAATTTTAGTATATTATCGATAAACACTAGAACCTAAGATTCAGTATACAATATTTAGATCTTGTGTGCGATTGAAAACATGTTAACTTCGTTTCCCTATAGAAAAAATCGAACGAGATAACTGTAATAGAATCAAATTACAAAGTGTTTTACTTATGATCAATAATGGGATAACATTAATAAAAAAGAATATATGAATTGACTGAACAAAGGAAACGAAATGTACCTTTCATCATTATGCAACACGTTGTCCAGAAATATTAAAGCATACAATGGTAGTCCACCATGAGGAGAAAATACATGAATTGGCCTAAATTATGTGAATATATAGCAAACGAAAACAAACAAATGAATCTCTTTTTCACTATGTTGGTATAGCCCTAAGAGTATAAGAATGAGAAAAAGTACTTTCAAATTTTAAAAAAAAACTAACTACGCTTAAAATAAGTAATACTTTATTAGTTAGCGAAAAAAACTCGCTGAAACATGTATTTCAGTTGTTATTATGAGATGTGAAGATTATTGAATTTGAAGTTTTACAATACAAACTCAGTAATCCGAAGGTTATGCGCTTGTTAAGAAGCCTAGAAGTCCTAAACTCCATCTCTTATGAGGTCGTGGATGGCTACAACTGAGCAGTCCCATATTGGGACGGAACAGTTCTTTAATATACCTCGATGTTCAATAGCCTAACCAAAGTCAGTCTGTGATGTGAAACATAAAATATACAGTTGTTATTACCTAGCATAGCTCAACAGTTGTTTGACTGAGTATAACAGCGACAGCTTATTGATTACGGGATTTAACTTTTACTAAGTTAGTGGTCATTTGAATCCCATCCCAATGTCTAATTTGGAGAACCAATTACCGATACTGGTCCTTGAATACAAATATTATGACTTGAAAAAGGGTATATCAAACCAGTATTTGGTAGATAAATTACAATTTTACAATGCTTAATAAATTAGATAGGTGGAAAGTTGAATATGTCAAGGATAAATTAAGCTAACCTATAAACAATCAGAGTATTATTCTACGCTATAACGGCTGAAAACATCGGAATATAAGAAGTGGAGTTTTCAACAATATCCATGAAGTCGATTGATGAATTTTCAAAGTGACTATCCTAATAAGGTTAATGGGAATGTTTGTAGCTAACTTTAATAACCATTGTGATACGAGACGTTCCATTGTCAAATAAAATGCAAGGACACATTAGGACATCAACTCAGCTACATTGAGAAACCAGTACAAAATTAGGAAAATCTTTTTTCACGGGTAAAGGACTAAAACACCAGAGTATGAAAGACGATACTATCTAGCCACTCTTAGATATTTCTATTCCGTGTCATAAAATCATGTTCAGAATAATCTAACAAACACCCCTCTAATTACGTCAGTTGAGAAGCTTACACCAGCCGGTTTACCTAAGGATCTGTGATCCTAAAACCACTTATTTAGTAATCATTACGGATTAACTTGATGTGGTTGAGGGAATAACAGTTGGATGAAACCGACTTAAAGGTTATCATATTGGATAACCAGTTCAAATCCCACGAAAGGCATGTCCTCATAAGATTCCGAAAATACGATGGTAAACTAGCACAAAGCCTAGGTCAACAGGGATTCTTATCAGTTACTCCTCTAATATGACCGACAGAACCCCAGATATGTAACATCAAATTTGTTGCACCAAAATGTTGGTTCCAACGTAGCCACACACTACACAACATGATAATAGTGGACCTATTAGTATAAAGTTTAAATATATCCATGTACAATCAAATAACAGCAGGCACTAGAAAATGACAGATAGTCCGAAAGAACAAACTAACCTCAGTTTATACTTCATATTGCCAGCCATTCGACTAACTAAGGAATATATACAGACTTTACCGTCCAGACTGGCAGAACCCAAACAAGTAGCATCACGACTTAATGACAAAGCAGTAATCGCATCAGAATGATCCGATAACTCAGCATAATATAATGAATCTGCTGTACATCCTTCTATGGCATCAATAAGTTGTTTTTCACTCCAAGACGATACTTCCGACTGAACATCTTGTGAAAAGTGATTCTGAAGAAGTTCAACAACTAAACCCACATTTATAACTTTTACCTTTAAAATAATAAATTGACAATCTCTATTCACCATAATTTCCAAAATACGGAGTTTTAACTTGAAACTTAACAAAAATGTAAGTTCTCTATTCAAATTAAATAAATAAATTTACTACTTATCATAAAAATTACCAATTACTACATATTTTAATATATTTGAAGTCAAATGCAATGTTTAAAGTAATGAAGTTTGACAACTTTATATGAGTGGAAAACTACAACAACTGATTTGAACGGGATATCACGGAAAATAGTTCCAAGTGTGCTATAATCATAAGCTTAGGTATTGTTAAAATTAATAATTAGAACACCGATCGGCAAGTGATGGACAACGGTACTATTAACAACTGTCTATAAGATTGAGTTGAAAACAGACATGAATGATTGATAATTGTGTTAATTCCGAAAAACACCAGCCTAAAAATTATTATGTTACATCACGAGTGCTAAAATGTCATTTAAAAATGGCTGTTTACATACACTTTTATTTATATACAATTCTGGCTCTCTAAAGTATCTTTTTACGCATCCAGTCTCGTGGCACGTCCAGAATTGAATTAATAAGGACCGTTAAAATTAGTACGTATATTGATTTTGGATAAAATGGAGAATCTGTCCTTTATCATTCTCGAAGTAGTAATAGGAACGTTAAAATGTAGCTACCGTTATTAGTGAATGATGTGTACTATAGTAAATACTTTTTTTATTGTGATCACATAAAAAGTATGGAACGAATCAAATCGGGTTAAATAATAATTATACACTTTTGGCCAGTTATTCATTTGTATAAACGTCAAGTTAGCTTCGAAAGATGAACTCCTGTTATTTAAAGTTGCGAAAAGATTTCCTTATCACTGAAAACTCCCGACCTTACAACGTTTCATATTTTCGCAACTGGTCATTTCCGATTGCATTGATCTTAATGCTTTCATCTTGGTGTACTGATATAAGATATGGCTAATTGAATTATTACACACTTGTGCCAGGCGTATTATTTAAATAGTATTCAAATCTGGCTCACAATTTCGGACACAGAAATTCCATTTATGAGAAGAAGAAACATGAGGCTGATGCAAAAGCCTCGAAACTCCAAAAGAACCTCTTCCATTAAAGATGAACTTGCCACCATCCACGAACCGTATTTGCGATTACATTAACGCCGAAGACATTGATCACAGTAATGATCTTCATCTATATCAGTATGGAGATCTGTGGAGATTGTAGTATTTTCAGTTGAATTCACGAGTTGATCTAAGCTAGACCACTATTGAAAACCTGGAAGCACCGGACGGCCAGGAAAACAAATCACTGTAGTCATGCCTTTGTATGGACTAATCGTAAGTGGGAACAGAAAGCTCTAAACTATGGTTATGAATATCGAATCAGCATCAAAATGGTGAAAGGAACCAAAGTTGCCCACAACTAAGTTACTGAGCATCGAAGAGCCGACAATCCACTAAATATAATGTTGTTGGTTCCAGCCGAAGATATTAAGAACCATATAGAATGTTTCCATGTACAAATACTGTAGTAATTCTGTTGTGCCACGACAGGACTAAACTAAAGCTACCCTAAGTACTTTATGATAGGATCTGAGGTGACTTGACATTAAAATCACTTAACAATGACTTTGTATTTGATATCCCTTCATTTTCCATACCTTATAGAGAGCATATTTCTACTTCACAAGTTTGGGAACAAACTACTTGACAATTGATTGTAACACTGTTGAAAATGATTTTTTTAAACAAGTACTAGCACCTTCTTTTGTAGATAATTCAGAGTGGGATAACCTGTCGTGTCCACATTACGGTCTTACCAATATCCTCACCAATGAAATGAAACTAGATCTGTCGAAAAGTGCAAAACAACAGAACCAGAACAAAATACTGGTTACGGAGCTTACGTATTTAGCATAATATTAAAAGCACACTAAAGAATAAGGTTTTAAAAGAGTATAACATGCGGAAGGTGATTTAATTGGACCAAAATTGCAAAAACATTGTACCTTATGATGAGCAGAATATGCTAACAGAAGGCTTGGGTCACGTGGTGGGACAAATACATCATCATGGATATCATTTACAAGTGGGAGTGCAGTTTTGGACCCATGCAACCACGGACACCACACGAGTGAAGAAATATCCAAAGGGACAAAATTTTCTGGTGGATTTAAGGAGAAGAATAACGACGAAGTCATTGGGTCTTCAGAACCCAACCCTTGATCAATCTACATTTCCAAAAATCAGAATTTTTAATATACAGATTACTAACTTTAAAAACACTAACTGCTCCAGAGTAGTCAAGGATGCCTAAAAGAGCCTCGCTGCGGAGTGCAAAATCAATGTACGTGATACGGTCCGTGAAAGAACGCAAGAGCAACTTCTTTCCCGTCTCTGTATTCAGCAACCGCACCATACCTACATATATATCTTCGTCAGAATCTGTTTTTTTAACATCTGCAGAACAATAATAGTTGTACAATATCTACCTACGTCTAATTGCATAGGCAATCAGTGAACTTGCGTGATGACGTGCAATGAGACGTGTTACATAATACTGATATTCCCAAAAGTATTTAACAGCTGGTTGAATGCTAATCTAATCCAGATAAAAAGGTGAATATACACTGTACCTTGCAGCTGGCCGAAACATCCCTACAGTCCAGAGCACTTTTAGCACTAGGATATACGCGGACATGTGATGAACATATCTCCCTAATATTTTCCTCATCATTTCCGGAGAATTTTCTGAAACCATAATAAATCCCATACCATTAATTACATTTCCTCAATCACCGTCATCTTTGGATTACAAGAAATATCCCAGGGTCGTATATTCAAGGTTGGATGTTTCTGTGTTGGTGAAGTGAAACAATTTCCTACATCCAATAGCTATATCGAAACCTTATGTAAATCGACTGATTTTTCTGAAATCTCTACTCTTTGCCTGGTACGGTTTCGGGTACACGGTAGTACGGTGTATATTAATTATGTTTGATCACAACGAGTTCTTACTTTCGCCTGTTACTCCCAGTGGAGCATAGGCCACCGACCAGCATTCTCCAGCCCATCCTGCCCTAAACCTTCCTTTCTAGTTCTACTAAAGTGTTGTCCATTCTTCTCATGTCAGTCTCCATTTTTCGGCATAATGTGTTCTTTGGTCTTCCTCTCCTCCATTGGCCTTGAGGATTCCAAGTGAGGTCTTGCCTTGTGACGCAATTGGGTGCTTTCCTCAATGTGTGTCCTATCCACTTCCAGCACTTCTTCCTGATTTCTTCCTCCGCTGGGACCTGGTTTGTTCTCTCCCACAGTACGTTGTTGCTAATAGTGTCCGGCCAATGGATCCGAAGTATTTTGCGTAGACAATTGTTAATAAACACCTGTATTTTCTGGATGATGGCTTTTGTAGTTCTCCAGGTTTCTGCCCCATATAGTAGAACTGTCTTGACATTTGTATTGAAAATTCTGACTTTGATGTTGGTTGACAAACATTTGTTTTGAGTTCCAGACGCTCTGCAATTCTAGATATGCTGCTCTTGCTTTGCCGATCGGCGCCTTCACATATGCATCCGATCCACCGTGTTCATCGTGATCCTGCCCAGATATGTAGAGGTTTTTACATCTTCCAAATCTTCTCCGTCAAGTGTGATTCGATTGGCACATGTCGTGTTGCATAAGAGAATCTTGCTTTTCCCTTTGTGTATGTTGAGATCTACTGCTGCTGAGACGGCTGCTACACTGATAGTCTTCTCTTGTAAATGTTGTTGCGTGTGCAATAGAAGTTTAGATTGTCCATCTGCGTCCTGGCTGTCTACTGTATCTCAAGCTTCCCTCCAGATGTTGACATCTTCATGATCCAGTCGATCACCAGTAGAAAGAGTAAAGGTGAGAGTACGCAACCTTGCCTGACACCGTTAGTTACTTCGAACGAGTCTGTAAGCCGCCCTCCATGCACGATTATGCAGTTTAATCCATCATTTTGTATGATAGTGACTATCTTCCCAGGCACGCCATAGTGTTGAAGAAGCTTCCATAGGGTTGTCTTGTCAGCGCTATCAAATGCTTTCTCGTAGTCAATGTAGTTGATGTAGAGTGATGAATTCCATTCAATTAGTTGTTCCACAATGATCCGTAGTGTTGCGATTTGGTCTGTACGCCAATGATCCTTACGGCATCCAGCCTGCTGGTCTCGAAGTCAGGCGTCTACGGAGTCGTTCATTCTGTTTAACAATACCATGTTGAAGACTTTTCCTGGTGTTAAGAGTAGAGTAATGCCTCGGCTGATGTTGACTGCTGCCTTCTTGTTCCTCCCTTTTTGAATCATATCCAGTGTATCGATGGTGATCCACTTAATATGATGGTGCTTCTTGTGGCCTAGAACCTCACGACGTGTTGAAATAATTGCCTCCTTGACCTCTTTCCAGTTGCTCACCGTAGTGGTTCCCTCTCTATAGAACTTTTGTGATGTTGTCCGCCCCGTTGTCCAGTGCTTCTTAAGTTTTACTTTCATCTTGGCGACCAGCAAGTGATAATCTGATGCTATATCATCTCCGCTCTTGGTTCTCACGTCCCCCATCGTCCTCCTGAACCTTTTGTTGATCCAAATATGGTCAATTTGGTTCTGTGTAGTGTGATCCGGTGAAGTCCATGTGGCTTTGTGTATGCGCTTATGTGAGAATATCGCGCCACCTATGACCAGTTTTACAAAGGCACATAGGTTTGCAAATCTCTCACCGTTTTTGTTCATTTCTACTAGTCCATGTCGTCGAATGATGTCTTCATATCCGGTATTGTTCATTCCAACCTTGGCATTTAGGTCTACCATCAGAATGGTCAAGTCCTTTGTTTGGCACTACTCGACGATTGACTGCAGCTTATCTTAGAATTGATCTATATCGGCTTCATTGTAGTTGTTGGTGGGCGCATAGCATTGGATGACGTTCACTGAAATGCCCCCTTTGTTTTTAAGGAGGCTTTGATGATCCTTGGTCCATGAGATTCCCATCCTATAAGTGCATTTTGTGTTTATTTGGATAAAACCAATGCAACTCCTTGTGTATGTGGAGCATTTTCTTCTTCATGGCTAGAGTATAACAGAAGCTCTGTTGAGGCTAGTCTTTGCTGGCAAACCTGCGTTCAATGTGTTTCACAAATTACATGAACCTCCAGGTTGTATCTTTTCACTTCTGCCGCAACTTGCATGACTCTTCTAGTCTCATAAGTTAATTGTTGCTATGGTAGTCAGAAGGGGTGTCGGCCTCGTGAATTCCGAAGGAACTCGGCTTTCACCATGAGGCGTCATTACTCTTCTAAATGAAGACATTCTAACTCTCAGGGCAGAGTTTAAATGGTTAGAATAATTTTTTTCTGGTTGGCGTGTTTTTAGCGAGTTAGTTTTCTAATGGATACGGTAGCTAACCTCATGCCCATTCCTCCTCCTTTACTCAGGCCTGGGACAGGCAGTAGCCCCAGAGGTGCTCCGGATGGAGTCGAGTTTTTACTACATACATCTATATAGGTATTCTCAAAACTGTTTCTGGTTTGAAGTTATTAAAATGTTTTAAATGTTTCTAGATGAAGTAGAAGAAGCTTTTGCTTGACGAGCTTCCGTATCTAGTAACAGTGGATCCCCAGTGCTTCCAGGTTGGAGCTATTATAAGGTCGCAAATGTTGTTTCAGCATCGACCAAATTGCCACCATATTTTTTGTGTGTACTCCAGCGGTGGGACCTACAAAATGACGCTTTTGGACGGCGATAGGATGCACATAAACAAGCCTATATGAGCATCGATATGCTCTTTAGTCATCCGTGTATATTTCCTTTCCCAGCTGTCCATACCCTCTTATAATTTGCACTATAGTTGTACCTTGTAACTTTCTGACGTTCCGGAATTGTCCTTTTTGAGATATTCCGTCGTAAATACCTAAGACCTGTTAAGTATATTGAAATACTACTTAAACAGTCTTCTTTAACACTTTCTTCTCTGTTGAATTTCGTTTTCTTCGTCTATTTCTACGAGTTTGCCAACTCGTCCAAACGACTCATGTAAGCTTATCATTTCTAATGCATACATATCTCAACAATACTCACTCCAGTAAACTGCCGAAGCTTCCGTAACATCTGCAAGGGTTGCAGCCAGTGTCACTGGTGACTTTATTATCCTGTTCGCAACAGTTATCATAATCTGTATTAGCCTCATTTGGGATTGAGAGAAAAAATTTCCTGTTTTGACAGACGTTTTCCTCAAAAATAGATTACATCGAAAAACAAAATCACGACAGTCTGCACAAGGTTCATGGGTCATTTGACCAACACCATCACAAATAAGGGAACTTCTACGTAATCCAATTTGTCGTAGCGGTTCAACTATAACGCCTTTAAAATCCGCTGTAAATCGATCGTACTTGAGCGTTCGGTACTGAGACAAGCAATGTGAGATCGCTCAAAAACTTTTAATCGGCTTGCCCATAAGTTATAATCTCGCAGTGTTATAGGTAAATCTGTTGTTGTCCGCCGAAAGTTGAAGTTCAGTCAGATCATTTCGAAATGCAAGCTTGTCATTTTGGTGGCGAACTTGTCCCCGAAGTTCCACGTCATCAGCAAAAAGTAACAAATCAGACAACACATGCTAAGGAAAGTCGTTTATATAAGTCAAGAAAATAAGGTTATAGGACTGAAACCTCGCAAATCCCACGAGGACATCCTTTAGTATGAGAAAAAACGGATTTTACCCTGACGTTAAAATGCTGGTTATTTAGATATGACGTAAGTCAATAAATTATTGGTGAATTGGTACCTATTTGTTTGAGCTTATTGGTAGGATACATATGATCGACCCTATCAAAAGCTTTAGAGAAGTCAAGTTATGCGACCTCAACTTTCTTTTTGCGATCAAAGATGGTAAACCATCTGTCCACTGCAGTCAGCATGTTGGTTATTCAAGAGGGACTCTGAAGAATTATGGTCTACTATGATATTAGTACTGCTCTAATAACAGACCTGTTTTTGTAATTGTAGATTTGCCATGATATAACTGCCTAATCTATAAGATCTTACGTGGAAGGGACATCATCGTCTACACCAACCCATTACATGATAGAGGACAAACTTAGACTAGAGATAGAACGATATATTTAATATGAATAAAAGATATAAGGTAACATTCAGCAGGAACCACGCCTGCAAGGCCGAGCCATGCCATCCGATCAACTCGAATCCTTGTTCCCGCCTTCTCCATCGTTAGGTATTTCTCCGCGTCAAATACTGGATATCTATCTTCCGAGTAGTCTCGTTATAGTATTCTAATTATAGTATGAATTAGGAATTCCAGGATTAACGCAATTGAATTAAGAAGACACAGGCACAACGAATGTACTGTATTTAGAATTCGAAATCGAGCATTCAACAACTACAAAAGAATCATTAGTTAATTCAAACACCACATCCGCCACAGCTTAAATAGAAGTATGAGTGTTTGTAATCGGTTGTATGTCTTCTTGTTAAGTTCATCCTGAGTCTGTCCGACATTGTATAAGATAAAAACTTTGTAGTATCTAGAAAGTGCTCATTAGTATAGGAATTAACAAACGAAATCGGAACAGACTCACCTGGAATTGTATACAATCAGCATATTGGTTTTGTACTGAAATCATTAATATCTAGAATTTCAACCATAGATTTTTCAACACTATCCTCCCCCACGAAATAATGTTGGATCTTTATATCCCCAGGTTATGAATAATGTGGCTTCATTTAAAACATATTTCTCACATTGTTTAGAGTAAACATTAGAACTGTTTTT